AATAATTAAGGCAACTCACAATACATTTCTGCATCTGGACTCTTTTTGTGCACTATGAACAAATGTGTCAAATGACAGTATCGGTGCCACTTATAGCAATAATAAGGCGTAAGTACACAAAAAAATTAATAAATTAACATGAATTTATTGGAATATTTCTAGGTATAAATTGTCTATAACATCTGGCACTGGTTTTGGCTGGTTCATTTGTGACACTGTGATTGTGCCGAGCAGTTAAAGACAGAGAAGTATGAGAAGAATTGACAGGCAAAAAAAAATAAGTGACGCATATTAACAAGCATATTATTTTGCAGGTCAATCGCCAGGAAAAGACGAGCCGTCGCCAAGAGCCAGACCGAAATAAAAACGATTTCATATGTCGCGCCGAATAAAACTATAAAAAGCCGCCACAGCGCGCCGCGCCGGACACGTGATGCGTGTGAGTAGGAGGCCGAGCGCGGCATTCACGTGTGGACCACGAGCGAGACGAGTACCTTTTTTGCGTGTGATCTTTTCCAGCCGATTGAGTCGAGGCACGTGCGAGTGAGAGAGAGTGAAGAGTGGAGAGTACCTGCGAGTACCGTGTGTGATCGTGTGAGAGAGGCGAGAGTGAGTAGCGCAGTGAAGAGAGAGAGAGATTAACGAGTGCTGTCGTGTGTAGAAGTGTCGTGTGCTGGAAAGTCGGGTACGCAACCGAGACTCTGGTCTGAGACCACCATCCGCGACATCCACCAGTGCCAATCACCGTCGTGATCCAAGCCAGACCACAGCCCAGCCGAGAGCTATTTTGCCAGGGCCGGATTGTCATCACTCGATTGTTTTGGTACGGTAAAACATTATTTGTGAGGTGTGAGAGAGAGTGTGTATGCGAGTAGGATAAAAGCCGGTTGAGTTGCGCAAATTTTTTCAATAAATATTTAACGCTATTAGCTGAAAACAATACACAAGAAATTTCTATTTATTTTTCACCTTGTGTTGCCTTCCTTTTCCCTTTTGTATTTTTCGCGTACGGCCCAGTCAGAGCCCACGCGTTCATCGAGCGGCGGAGGCAGGGCCTCGAAAAGCCACCGTGTCGCACATTTTAAAAATTAGACGAATATACATCAAATCGAAATACATCAAATGCGTTGCGGGTAAACGGCGGGAGTAACTATGACTCTGAGGAGGGCGTAACTGCACTCAGGCTAGTAACTAATCCCGACACCTCGACACGCTTACCCTTAAAACTATTGTCTGGTAGCCGATCCTCATCCCCGATGCATTGGTTCCCAAGGTCGCGCATACAGGTGGGGCAAAGGCTCGTACGACTTTAGTAACTGCAGAGCGAGGTAGGAGATTTTGATTTCCGTCCCGGGACCGAACGGGAGCCATACAGAAACGCGTCTGTCACTGGTAAATTCGGTTCTTTGGGACTGAGTGATGCCCCAGCAGGGTTCCGCTAGCTGCTGCACTCGGTGAAATGGTGTTGGACTCGAAGGGGCAGCGGTTTCGTTTGGACATGTGGAACTCGGAAAGTCGATCATTCGCGCATACCATTACAAAACGGTTAAAAATCCGGGTCCGGAAGCTGGGTCCCTGAGCGTCGTGTATGCGATGGCCGATCCTCAGCCAGCTCCGGGCGAGTAGCCAGCGACTCTAAGATGCCGCAAAGAAAGACAGGTTGCGGGTCAGTTGAGATCTGTTGACTCTGAGCACCGTTCATTGCCTGGGGTGGCCAGACCAGATTGGGCAGACTTGGGTGTCCGAAGTCCAACCATCCTGTAATCCCGAAGGGAGTGACTGGCCCGAAGATCGAGCCTCCGGCATCGTCGATGCCACGGCTGGGCGTCTAAGCGTCCATAAAATCGTAATCCAAAAGCATCGTTTTGGTTGCGACGTCAATTTTGTATTGCCCACTAGCAATTTTTCCCCCTTCGTTGAGGCAAACTATTTTTGGTAACGCCGCTTTCTTGTTGGGGTAATTACTCTCTTTGATTGCAATCTGTAAACGAAACCAAAATTAAAATCAATATATTTGAGAATCGTAAATCAAAAGATTGTTGCACTTAATAGATATCTACGCAACGAATGTAGATGTTGTTTTTGTACAAAACGAAAGCTTGCAACGAGTTACTAGTAACGAGTTTTGCTGAAAACCTTATTCATACAAGTTACGTACAATATTTTATAGCACAAGAGCCTAAAACTAGCGTAGTTGAGATTTTTAGGTTCGAGTGCTATAAAAACTTTTTAAAAATTAGGAAGCATATTAATGAAGTAAATTATTAATGAAGTGAAACCCCCATCGCGAAAAGCAATCTTCCACTTGGTATAGAGATTACCCCAAGAAAGAATAAATTAATGGAAAATACGAATACTTCATCTTGAAATTCAATAAGATGTATGTTAAGGATTTGATGAAAAACTTTGTTTCTCTTATTAGCTCTCTGCAATAATAAAATGTTCATAATTATGCGTTGTACAAAAACTACAAGAAAAATAAATTAAGCAAATGCATTTTACTTTTTTTTTCACTGTTCAATTTTGACCTGATAATCGCTGGCAGCAAAAGAACTGCTTTCATAGATTCTAAATAGGAATACGTTAGAGTTTTCATTTAGTTGATCAAATAATTAAATATCACATTGAGTTATGAAAATGCCCAAGCTAATGTGAAAATGAGAATTTTCATAAGAGTAGTTTCCATAGAAAAGTGGAAAGACATAATTTACATTAAGGCTCTGGACTAAGTTTTTTTACTGAGAATAATGAGCAACATACATAAATTGTTTGTCTCTATGTAAGCTTTGACATTTCTCAATTTTGAATAAAGCATTAGACTTTTGGTAAAAGTACTAATGAACCATTTTTAATGAGTTCAAGTCACAAACTATTAAAAAATTAGATTTGAATTATATACTTAAAAAACTTATTGAACGCGATGAACGTATGAAATTAAAGATGAAATTATTGGAAATAAATTGGTATATCATATAATATGATACATCGCTCCATACTAATAACCGATTATTGATACTCAGATGTACTATTAATTATAAATGCCTCTAAAAACATTATGTACGAAGTAGGAATTTGTTTCTCTCAAGAAGATAATAAAGTGAATTTTCAGGCAATTTTTTACCATTTTCTATATGTTCCAAGACGTTATTGGTATCTAGGCTCAATCCTTGATCCAAAATTTTTTGAATAACGCAAAAAATTCTTTGAATTCTACTTGAATCTGAAATAATCCAAAGAATAGCATGATATATAATAAAAAATATTGCATCAAAGATTTATAAAAAGTAAATTAAAAATACGAATGTTTAAACGTGTTGTTTTTGAACATTATTATTTTTTATCACGAGACTTAAAAACTACCTTTCTTAGTTTAGAGAGCTGTATAGTATATTTTGCACCTAGGGAGTGAAAAACTAGAAAGTCTCAGAGCACGTATAATTTATCATCCGATGCGTAGCCGAGGTGGATAATCACGTGCTCTGAGACTTTCTTTTTTCGCTACATAAGTGCAAATACAATTTTTTGTGAATCCCCTAGCCTAAAGTAAAATTTTTATTTCGCTCAGCGGGAGTAAAATGTTACTTTAGGTTGGGGTAGCTGATATATGCCAACGGCACGAGACTCCTGCGTGCGTATCCCCACTCCGCCACTTAGCCACTGCCGGCTTGCGCGCCGACCGGCCAGCGGTATAAAAAACAGCGCCGATTCGATTCGGCACGCAGTTCCACTCCTGGACTTTCCGGAGTCGGATCTCGCTCGCCCACGAGAGCTTGGCCTAGTGAACGTTAATAAACCTGAGTTGTACAAAAATACTTAATCTTATTATTTCTCGCTCCTCTCCAAGCCTTCTTTCCACTTCTTGCGCTGAGAAGCTTCACTAGCGACCGCTAGGTGGCGCAGCACCGGCACCCACAAGCTACTTATCCCCGCCAGGGCTCAAGTACCGGCCACTTCGAGCCTCGATCTTTTCGAATTCAGCGAGTGCAGCCTGGACCTTCCGGCCGCAACTGACCAGCAAGGCCAAGTCAGATTCATCGCAGAGTCATCGCCGCCAAGACTACAAGGTCGACGAAATTTCCAACCTTCCGTTGCAGAGTTGACTCCGGAACAGCATCGGATCTCGGTGACCACTCGATCCACATCACTCGCCAACTAAACAATTTGGAACTTGTACACGCCAACTCGGCCCCGGTCCTTTTCAGGACCACCTCACGTAGGATTTCGAAAGACCTCGAACTTTTGCTAAAGATCGAGGCTAACCGTCTTGTCAATTGCAGAGTGCGAACTCTGCAATTCTTTTCGGTTTCCAGCCTTTTCAAGGCTACCGTTCGAAAGCTAACGAGCTTTTGTAAAAGTTCAACTCAAGCCGTCTTGGCAGTGGCAGAGTGTAAACTCTTAAACTCCTTTCGGTTACTAGCCTTCTCAGGGCTACTGTTCGAAAGCAAACCAATTTTTGTAAAAGTTCAATTCGAGCCGTCTTGGCAGTTGCAGAGTGTAAACGCTGTAACTCCTTTCGGTTTCAGGCTCTTTCAGGGCTACTATTCGAAAGGTCATCGGACATTAATAAAATTCGACGTTCCCGCTTAACATAGCACAAAAAAAATATTTACCAATTCTCCTTCATATTTCATAAAGTGTGTGTACTTAGTTAGTATACTCCTCCAACTTATAGAACTATCATTTTCAATACAATGTTTGCGCGTTTTTTCCGTAATTTCCAATATTATATTCTTGTTTTCTTCGTTAGGAATTTTGGTCTGAATACCCTGGATCTACCGACACATAAACATTTAAATGAAGCTTCAATTCAATAATTTGAAGCATAATTTTATGCTAAATAAACATTTTAAAAAACTGAAAGTAACTGCTCTAGCCGGTTTTGATAAAACAGCTTCTTTGCACATGTTATGTACTAACGTTTCATTTTTACGTACATTTTCTATGCATGCATATTTTGTAAGGAAAAAACATTTTAAGTTGATCACCAATATTTCATTGAATTAGTGTGGTTCTAATCTATCTTCCATTTCCAAAATGTCGTCGATTCCTTTTTGGTTTGCTCTCTCGACAGAGCCTTGTGATTGACTGTGTCGAGGTTTTCCGTGGACTAATATCAGTTCAGGCCACAATATTTTCAACTCACTGATAATAGAGTTCACGAATTCTCTTCCATTATCGGAATGCAACAAGCACGGGGCACCAAAGGTCAAAAATATCCGAACTAAATGATGTGCTACCTGCATTAATAAATAAATATTCAAGTCAATTCGTAATTGTAATTTTCATAATTTTACGTACCTCTTCTGCGCGTTTTGTTTTTAATGCATTCAGAACGACAAATTTCGTCAAGTGATCCTGGTATACCATTATCCACTTAAACCCATCGACACTTGATGATTGAAAGTCAATAAGGTCCACCTGGCATCTACTATTCATTTCTGCATGCAAAATTGGCTTGGATACCAGCCCCCTCCTTCTCTTTATTTTTTTCTGGTGACAGACCTCACACATGTTTAAATATAATTCAATCAATTCTCTTGTAACGTTTGCGTACTTGATCGAAGTTTCTTTCAAAAGCCTATCGCGCCCACCATGTCCGGTCGCAATATGCGCGGCTTGAATGATATCAAAGACATCTTCAAGCGCTACATAATACTTTATGCCATTACCGGGTTTGATCTTGGAGATAAGTCGATTCACACCATCTACTTCTAATACATCGAATCGTTTTGCACGTCTTATTTGCTGAAAAGACTTTTTTGACGTGACTTTTCCGATTAGCAGGTCTTTAATAATTTCTTCTATCTCTGCCATTGACAGAACTTTATAGTGCTCTTTTTTTCGAGCCTCGGCGAGGAACTGCTCTCTCCAATTATTGGTTTTAGTTTCCATTTTTCTTTCAAATAGTGAGAGTATGGGCTTGTATCCGTATTGGGTTAGATCCAAAACAAAACTAACAAATACGTCCGGCTTAGATGCTGACTAGTCGTGTTTACAGAAATGCCTAAAATTATTTAGGCATTGCGGGTTTTGCCTAAGAAATTTAGGAATTTCCTATACTTTTTTAGGCATTGCGGGTTTTGCCTAAAATTTTAGGCATTTTTGTTTTTGCCTAAAAGCGGGTTTTGCCGGTAACATATACAAAAAATCATGGCTAAATGTGTGCTCATTCGTAGAAAAATTATTGCGATTCCCTTGCTAATGAGTCAACGCTAATGAAAAGCCACGATTTGCCTATGAAACTAATTTTTTTCAGCTAATTAATTTGTATCAGTTTTATTAATATTAAATATTAAACTCCACACTGCTTTTGTCGAGGATTCGAGGCCCCGTCTTACGATTAGAGTTCCGGGTGGCCAACATTGTGCCCTAGGTAAAATATTGAGATCGGCAACGATTTCTCCGGGGAATTCCAGGTCCCGTCGCTCGATTAGTGTTCCGGATGGCCAGCTTTGTGCACTAATAAAATATTGAGCTTGGCGACGATTTATTCGGGAAAGTCTTGCTCGATTAGAGTTCTAGGTGGGCCAGCTTTGTGCACTAGGTGCCATATTGAAAAAAAAGGAATAAATAGAAAAAAAAATGGTAAATAATTATTGGGTTTAGATAAATCAATAATTTAAGAATATGTAGATAAATATTTTTTTCTCGTATTCTTTTTTAATTTTAAATATCATTTTTAATCAAATTCTAGTAAGTTAACGGGCTCTGCTATGTACATTTCATCGCCCCCCCCTTATAACGATTATTTAAAACATTCTGAATAATGTCTATTTTATTAATGTTAGCATAATACTCAGCATTATCACATCCACAATTTTTTAAAGCAATCGCATTCGCTCACTTGTACAAAATATCTTATTATACCAAATTTGTACTTTCTTCATGACAGTAATTTACATATTTAGATGTAGTTAATATTTGCCTCTTATAAAGATCTGAAGAATATAAAATATTTTTTATTTTTAGACGATAAAACGAAAAAATATTTTTGCCTGAGAATCTCAATTCTAATAAATTCACATTGTCTGTTCGAATAATTTTTTTGTCTAAAGATCCAAGGATATATACAAATTCCGATATACAAATTGCGTTTTTATTAATTTTTTTTTTTCAATTGAGATAATAATTCGAAGGTCTTTGTACCTTCTGGGATGGTTCTTTTCAAATGAAATGTTTTCATTAGCATGAAAAGCGATGAACAAATTTGCAACTGAGCAGAGTTGCTACTATGTACAAGATTTTTTAGGTGTCCATTCAAATCCTTATAAGCAAAACAAGCCAGTATCCAAAGAGGACCTAAATCTCTGACTGCTTGGCTCAAATGAAGTAATAAATAAACATTGGCAGACATATTTTTTAATAAATATAATTTCTCAAAGTTTTTTACGTATGTTTTTAACATTCTTTCTGCAGCGTTAATTTCATTCTCAGAAATCGATGGTTGAGATAGTAAGAAAACAGCTAAAACTATCAATTTATGATGCTCGTAATATTTTTCTTCTAAAATATTTTCTAAAATTGGCAGTGAATAGTGAAAAAAGAAATTTTTCAATTCTGACGATTTGAAATAGCTGAGATGTTTTTTTATCGATCTAGGCCTACGCTGTACAAATGCCGGAGGTATTATTGAACAAATTCGTGAATCGACTAACTGCACAGAATGTGATATTGAAAATTCTTCATCTTTATTTTCTTTATCAAACCATAAAGTAATTAATTTTTTTGCTACCCCAGAAAAAATATTGTGCATAACATCAATTCCAGTTGATTTTATTGGCTAATAAACAAACGTTGAAAGTATTGTTTTCCCTTTTACACCAAAGACAATTTGATTTGAATTTAAAGCTTGTAATGCGTAATTTTCAGTATCACTATCTGTTCTCAAGATCGTATGTTCTTTTTACCGATAGACCCATCTGTCAGATTCACTCTCTCCTTTTTTGTAACAGTTCATACAGCCATATTTACCTTTAAATTGGGTCATATTCAAAAACAACGATTTTGCAGGCAAATCACAAGTACCACTCATTATGACTCCATGAAATAATTTTTCCTCATTTTTAATATTTATTCGAATACCGCGGTATAGCTCAGCCAACTCATTAAATAATCCAAAAAGTAATAAATTGGGTATTAGTGTTTAACAGAGTCGATTAGAAAAAATAAACTGCAAGAATCTACATCTAATTTTGCCAAATTGCTTGAGCCAGTGACTAAAAAAAGTAACTCATATCTAATCACATAAACAAATGGTTTTTATGTGCTTCATATTTTATATTATTTCTATTATTCTATTTTAATCTAGCAGATTTTCTATACATGTTTGTTTGATTTACAGGGTTATTAAATAATGGAAAAATTATTGATATGAATTGAATGGAACAATTAGAATCTTTACTGCCTCAATCAAGTTCCAATTAATCAAATAATAGTGACATGAACGACATGCTTGATTATATTGCTTCCCAGCAGTAAATAGAGTCGAATCCTTCATCGTTAAGAGACATAACTAACTGTAAGTGTTAAATTTAATTATACTAATGTTCTACTACTTATAACTAATTACGTATACTCTTACAGTTCCTGGTGCTATCTCAAAAAATAAAAATAAGTGCTCTATGAATAAAAAAAACTCTTGGATTTACTTAACTCAACTGAAGACTGATGAATCTGTCTTTGATGATTTGGGACTTTTACAAGAACATGTTTCTAAAAAAACAAAAGCTAAAAGTAACCAAGGAGGTAACGCTGAAACAGCTGGTATTTTAAATAAATGTATAAATTCTTTATAATGTTTCATTTGTAGGATTTCTTACATAATTGATTTTAAACTTATGTATCATGTACGTAAGAATGTTATATTATGCAAAATTTATAAAGATAATTAATGTATAAGGTTCGTCTCAGCTCATAAATAAATTATTTTTTTAAATGTAAATTATTATTATATTTCATTATTTTCATGAACGAACACATTCCCAATAATAGTATATACCCGGATAAAAAGAAGCTAGTTTCGGGGCATTTTTTGACCTATTTAGAACATTTTTACCCATTTTTTGGGGATTTTCTTGTACTTAATAAATCCAGGGTATTTCGATGTACAACATTTTTTTTTGACATTTTTTGGGCATTGCTTCTAAAATATTTTTCCTGGTGGTAAACTGGTCCAAAAATTGTTTCATTTAGGGATTAATAATCGCCAATTCGCTTGCCCAGTTTTTGGTCAGGTTACATTTTAATTGTGTGGTTAATGGCCAAAAAAAAGTTATGATTTCTACGAGGGATACCGATTCAATTTCTAGGAAGTCCATTAAAGAAAACATACACAGATAGATGATATGTTTATAGTTTTTTTGTACCGTTGATACTTTGATTAATATTAGCGACAGAATACAAAAATAATGATAATAATAATGATGTTACTGTACGTCGTTTAAATGTTTTTGTAAGAAAATTTTGAGAATAAAGATTGTAATATACTCGATTCCTTATTTGATGAAATTGTAAATAAAAGATATAGAATAGAAGAAAAGATATAGAATAGATATAGAATAGGTAACAAAGCAAGAAAAAAATATATAAAACGATGAAATTATTATAAAAACGTAATGATGATTTTGAAGGAAACCTTTTTTCAACGCACGAAAATCCTTTTTTTTTGGGCAATTCAAAGAACTTTGATTTCTCCTTGAACTCGGAGCAAGGTCTCTTTTGTAAGGTATAATAAAACAAAGCAATTTTACTCTCATTCAACAATAATTATTGATCATTTATACTATTATTTACATTAAATAACTGATAGTAGTTGTCCCATATTACATTCTTTGCAATATTCAAAATTTTACTCGATATAATTCATAGCAATTAATCGATTGCAAACGTTGCAATGAAAATTAATATAATCATTAAAAATAATACATGGTCAGCTTTACAGTTCAGAAAGCCTCAAAACTATGAAAAACTTTTTCAATTTTCACACTATTAACGCTTTATGCACGGATTTACATATTTAAATATACTATATGTACAACATTGCTCGGGGATCATTGCAGGTATGTTTATAAATATGTGTTTATGTTTATTTCGCGTTACAGATCATCGTAGAAAGTATTATTGCAGGTTTATCAATATATAACAATAAGCTTTACTTGACTATTATCCTTTATAATAATTAATTACTTCCTTTTTCTTGACGTACGTAAATGTAAACGAAAAAACTCCTTAGACACGCTAATATAGTTTTGACTATGTGTATACCACGTATTTCTTTATAAATACGCCTGCGAAAGAATCGTCTTCGAGCTCTTAAAATTACACAACGGTTTTATCCAATACTTTGTACAGAAAATGGATTTTACAAAACAGTTTATTATATAAATATATTTATAAATATTTCTTATAAATATATCCATACGAAAATATCGCTGAAACAGAGAGGCAGTTATGTCTCGGGTAAAATTAGACAAAGATGTGTGAAATTCTCTTGGCAGTCGCTTGTAACATTAATCGCTGAAATGACATAGACAGGATATTTATTGAGACCTAGCGAAAGACTTCATCATTCATTGTTTTGATGGTTTACTAATTAATCGATTCCTATTTGATTTTTGGTTTGTGTAGAATAGCTATGATAGGTTTAAAAAAATGATATGTTGAGAATGATTTTGTATTTGGTCTCGAGCATGACTCTACAAAAAATGTTTTGGTTGGTTATAATTATTGGCACGATATTGTACTTAAAAGTCTATCAAAATTTTCGCTCGATTTGGCACAGAGTGGATTAGGGGCGTTTTCAGAATTCTCTGGAATACAAAGATATGTACTTGATAACTTGCACCCTAGTTGTAGCAAAACATTTTTTCAGAAGATAATTCGATTTGAACAGTCATACTTATATCATCTACTATTCATTAGCTAGGTCTCAATATCTTGTTATTTTAAGCACCCCAAAAAATGAGTGACAAATAATAGGGTACGAGAAAATATTTCATGCGTTTGAAAAATAACAGTATACAATTTTCATAACATCTTTCCTCCCTAACTTTTTTCTGTGCTTAAAATAATCAAGATGATTTAAAATTGTTTAGTTGAAAATCTCAGCATCTATAAAACTCTTCCGCGATAAAAGTCATTTAACTAAATAATAATTAACCGATAATTAAATACATAAAAAAGATAAATTGTATAATTTATTGCGAACAAATTTTTTTAACTGATTTCAGATTTAAAATATGAATAAAAAGTGAACTTTTTAGAATGTTAAAATCATAAAAAATTTAACGTGAAAAATGTGAATGCATACAACCCAATTTGTTTTTCTACTAGCAAACTTAGATTATCGTTCGTACTATAAATATTTATAAAAAACAACAAGTAAACTAACAAACAGTAATCTCTTATACAACTACAAGTTATGTCCATTATATTAAACTGTACAGTATTTTTTCATTCAAATCAACATTAAAGAAGGATCTTGCGATTAGCGGTGGTAAATTTTTGACACTGGTTCAAGAGATAACAATCGCTTCACCCCCGGTGTCAAGAAATCGCATACGCTCGGATATGTAACAATAGGTTGATTCTTTTTCATCTCTTAAGGTAAAAAAATAAATGTATGTTTCATTCTTCGCAAAGCTTCAATTCAATATGATCGCTGGATCAGTCTTTTTTAGATTTATAATATCGTCGCGCCTTTGTATAGGACCTCATTCGAAGCCAATAAACAAAGCATTAGACGAAACGAGTATATCCATTTTGTTTTGCTTTTGTTCAAAAACAAACCGTAAAAGTAAAATGTTTGCGTGTTTGTAAATTAAAAGAGTAAAATTATATATCCATAATAAAAAATATCGATCAGTTAGGAAAAAAAAGGAACGTCGATGGCTCTTGTTATAATCTTCAGTCTTCGCAGTTTTGTATTTGAGTGTGAACATTTATTTAAAATCGCCCTCCATCGCGCCGTAATTCGCCAGGGACTTTTTGATCCTCAGAGCAGTCAGTCTGGCCGCCGCGTTGTGATACCAGCACTCCTTCATAACTTTTGACATTACGTGCAGTGCCTGCGGACAAAAGAGAAAATGATGTTAAAAAAATTTCAATTTTATGGTGGAGTACAGAGTTGGTGTGTGTATTGTAGTGAGCCGTGTCGCCGCTAGGTGACAAAGTGTTGTTCACGCGAATCAGTTGATCAAGTATGTGAGTTAAATAGAGCTATGGAAGCTTGTATTTTCGGAAGCTTCGAGAGAGGCAAAAGAGAGATGGATAAAAAAACTTGAGTTTTTTTGAAAGAGGAATCTCAACTAGTTCTTTCACCTCCCTCCCATTAACCATCTTCCAGTCAGGACCCCGGCGATACGTATCAACGCAAGTACGGGCGGACGGCTCAGCGAGCAGCAACGAGGGTCGACCCAAGCGTTCACCTGCAGCAGAGTATAACGCAATACTTACCTCGTTAGACATCCATCTATTAGGTATAGACGGCCGCTGCCGATCCACGCAGACGACTTTGCGCATTTCCTCAATGGTCGGGTCCGAAGGGACGACGTCGTAGAACGGCAACTGGTAATCGTCGTGGATACCACCCACGTTGCAGCGTCGAGCTATTTCCCAGAAAATCAAGCCCAGCGCGTAAACGTCAGCGCGTTTGAACGAATCAAAGTGTCGCTGATTGATCGTTTCCTCTAGCACCTGATCGAGAGAAAAAAATCCCGCATATAAATTCGAACGTATTGATTGATTGAATGATGGTTTTTATTGGCATTAAATATTGAATTTACATAGCCACGAACGTATTTAGGACTGAACGATACCGTCACGCCGCGAAATTCTATAATAACGTATTAGGGCAAATTTGACCAAATAACATGAGAAGTACGATAAATGTGTAAAATTATAAATGATGCACAATGAATTTTGAACATTTGTCATTTTTCATTGAAAGTTCGTACATACCTAAATATGAATTTAGCAATTTGATGATAAACAACATTTAACGTCAACTCTCCCTCTGCCTCACAGCGCAGCATTATTCAGTCGAATCGCTGAATTTGTAACTCACTATAAAAGTATCTAAATGCACCTAAAAGAAAAAAGTAAACGATAATTTCGATGGGAAATTGCCTCAGATTTCCGATGGTGAGCTCATATTTCCTGAAATTGACTTCAAAGTTTTTCCAATAAATATGAGCTCACAAACAAAAAGCTGAGGCAATTTCCCATCGAAATGATCGGTTACTTTTTTCTTCGAGGTCCATTAGGGTACTTTTACAGCGAGTTACAAATTCAGAGATTCAACTAAATAATGCGGCAGTGGGAGAGTTGACGTAAAATGTTGTTTATCATCAAATTGCTAAATTCATATTTAGGTACGAACTTTCAATTAAAAATGACAAATGTTCAAAATTCATTGTGCAACATTTATTATTTTACACAATTATCGTATTTTCCATGTTATTTGGTCAAATTTGCCCTAATACGCTAGAACAAAATTTCACCGCTACGCGGCGGTGTGACGGTATCGTTCAGTCCTCAATACGAAAAAAATCAATCAATGAAATATAAAATAGAAAAATCACTAACCTCCGGCGCCATGTATCGTTTGGTACCGACTCGATTGTTCAACTGTATATCCACCGAGTCTGTGGTGTGATCGTGTCGAGCCGCTAAGCCCAGATCGCCGATGGCGCAGGTGCCGTTCGTCTTGACCAAGATATTCTTGGACTTCAAGTCGCGGTGAGCTATAGCGGGTTTGCCTTGAGTGCCGACGATCTCCATGTGAAGATGCGCCAGGCCCGTGGCTATCGACAGAGCCATGCGGATCATACCGTTGGTGTCGACGGTCGATCTGTTGAGGTAATCGAAGAGAGACCCTTTCTCGTGGTAGTCGGTGATGAGCCAGAGCTGCGTCCACGTACCGTTATCTGCCGGGGGAGAGAAAAAGAGTCAAAATTTGGCCTTCGCTGTGTGAGTAATTACCAAAAAAATCTTCAGAATTTTTAAAAATGATTTTGGTAGTCAAGGAGTTTAAATCTTAATTGACAGTACCCACCGACATCCCAATTAATTTATTCTTGTCATTTTGTTTACCTTTACAACTCAAGATTTTTTTCAAAATCACCAGTATTGTGTAAACTTACCTTTGTTGTCCGCAGCGATGAATCCCAGGATATTATCATGCCTTAACATCACCGTCTGATAGATCTCGGCCTCGCGGAACCAGGATCTTTCCTCGCGCGAGCTGAAAATCTTAACGGCGACGTTCTCGCCTCGCCAACGTCCCCGCCAGACCTCGCCGAAGCGGCCCTTGCCAATGGTCTCGACGAGCTGGATTTGGCGGGCGATGCTGCGCTGCACCAGCAGAGGCAGCCCCAGCGAGCCACTGCCGCTCGTCGTCATCTCCAGCATGTCGCGTATGGTGTGACCGCCGAGTATCGGCCGGTCCGGCGCCTCCAGCAGGTCGTCCGAGTAATGTCGGCCGCCCGGATGCTTTCGGCGACATTTGCGGATCTGATAGATGCTCAGGATTATCGTGAAGGTCAGGCAGATGGGCAGAGCCACGATCATGCCCTTGCGCCACGTGTCCCAGCTAACTCCACCGCTGCCCGATGCTGCATCAGCAAGTTGGGTGATGTTATTTTAATCGTTCTTGGATACGTTAAGGAATTGTACCAGTAATAATACATGGCAAGCGACTATTAGAGGCGTTGAAAAGCAGATAAGGGAAAAAAAAGAAAATAAAGATAGAGAGCTGGCGAAGAAAATAAGAAAGCATTACATGCAAGGCCTCGCACACGAACTACGCCCTCAGCCGCAAGCTCAATACATACACACATTCGGGGTCATGCAGAACGTGCAGTAATACAATAATAATTCGTATCACCAAAAATTAACTATGCCCAATTAAAATCGACATGTTATGGTGTATGTAGATGATGATTCGATGCAATGTTCATTTCGCAATTTTTCGAAACCATTAAAATTTTCCCGTCCAGCCAGCTTAGCGCTTGCACGATTCCCATGATTGTATATGGTGTATACTCGTATGATATATATAATGCAACACGAAGCTCAGTCAACAAACTTTGACCCAGTCTCGAAGTACTGCTACTACGGGGGGAGGAGAGCTCAAAACTTTGCAGACACAGTACTGCGCGCCGCGTGTGTCGCATCGTGATGTCGACCGAACCGATCGTATACGTCGTAATATAGTTTATGATACGCCACTTGTTTCACGTTTCAATAAAACAAATGAGTGAAGGAAATCGAGCCTACATTGAAATTTTTTATTATGATGCGAATAGAAAAAGAATGAAACTTTGAAATTTTTGTGCATAGAAAATCTGCAGTTATGAATCATTTTTAGCAGTACTTTTTTATCTTCGCGCATCTTTAAACTTTATATGAGCAGACCACAAAGAGATTAAAATCTCGTCTTTGCTAAGTTAAAATAAGATTAATGATAGGTGCAAGATACCAAAAATGAGCTCCAATACATCTCCGTTTTGCCAAAGGTATGCCATGCAAATTATGCGTAACAAAAAAATGAAAGTGAGTATTCCGGAAGTGTCTCGAGCATGATGGACAAATAATTGTTGCGCGAATTTCACCCGCGCCAAAAAAAAAGAGACAGAATTTTTTATACATGGGACGATTGTATGAAACGACTCGGTGTAACGAGAGCATGAACATGAGCGAACGAATCGTATGATTTTGACCGTGCATGTGACTCGTAACATTTTCCTTTTTTCCAACGCGACGAGCATACCTTGTTCGTACGATTCTGGAGATTCGATAAAGGACAGGTCGGATTTACCACCCAGCGGAGGCAGTTTTATGCATTGATTGCAGTAATCCATATCGCTACAACAGGCGGATGCTGAGGTGGGGCTCGTTTCGTTGCACGAAATTGGCGATTCCCGACTTGGAAAGACCACGTGCTTGCACCTGTGTGGCATTTATTTTTTTTGTTTTTTTCATCTCTCAGATTTCATTTGATATATATGCTCTTTTAAGACGTTATTGTGTATGTTACATGTATTATATGTTTCGTGACGAGGAATCGATTCATCACTACAACGTTATATTTAGTAGTACAAAAAATAATAAATGTATTTACAAAAGTGTCATTCACACGCAGAACAAATGCATTAAAGTTAAGAGAAAAAAAGCACAAAGGAGAAGAACAAAAATTGCTAAGTATAGCAACCATTAGAGCTACACTACTACTCGTGTGTGTGTGTGTTTTGAAGACTTGGCGTGGAAATTTAATATGGGAAAAGAAATCACGCATTAAAAAAAAGCGTGTGTTTACACTGGAGGAAATGACCTACTATACGACGATCACATCACATATTTATACTTGCAATTTTCAAGTGCATTATGTTGTCAGTTATAATTAAGTCACCGAGCGTGAAACTTGAAAGAGCGAAGAGAGAGACATAATACGCTCGTAATACACGGCTGGTTTTACGACGCGTACAACGAGTTTATGGATTTTGACGGACGTTTCTAATTGACTTTTAAAAAATTTTTTTCTTCTCTTTTTGCTCGTTCGAAATCAAATCGGCGCAACACGTGTGCGGCAAAGACGACGATAAATCGCGAGATAATTCCAAGGAATTAATGCTGTTCTCGAGCGCTCCTCGAATCGTCAATGGATAAATGATGATTATTAATACGGCCGACTAGACGCGAAATCCGTGCAAAAATTTTCTACAGATAATAGTATGTATGCAAGATAAAAAAAAATGGAAATTATTGTATAATTATCGACGATGGAGAATAAAAAATAAATCGGCGTATTATGCACAAGTATAAATGCACTCGCTCGCTCGCGAAAATCTAGAGCACAGGCGCCATTTGACAGCGCGTCGACTTTTTGTTCTCACACACGCACTCACGCATACACGCAGAAATGACAAAAAAGCACAAGAGACAGAGAACAATATAAAACGCGCGTAGGTGTATAAAGAGACCTGCTTATGCGTCTACATAATATAACAACTGTCGGAGAGGGCAATATCGTGTATACGACTGCACTGCACGAAGTTGCCAACTTTCCATTCAAAAGTCTCTCGTTCCACGGTTGCACGTACACGAGCTTATTACATGTTTTTTGAGGTTTTTTTCGTGAAAGTTTGAGTATTAAAAAAAGGAAAGAGCTACAGAGGAAGAGAGATGTATATAACTATCGGTTAGGGTTAAAAATGTATAAGTGATAAAAAAGGTAAAGTAGATTCAAATAGAGAGCAAAACAAATTGAGCATTATAAAAAGACTACATAATTTTGTTAGATAATAATAAAATATAGTAATTAAGAAATATGTACAAGATACAGTGTTTTTGGTGCCATTAAAATTTTTCATACCAGTTACCACTGCTAAGAAAAAAACTTGAGATAGTAACAAAGAAATATAACCGCATCGATACTGCAGTTTTTTAACAACAATTTTTTTTTCATTTCAATTTTATCACTGTACCTTCTTTGCGGGGGTGAAGCTGAGGTTTCAGGTCAAGATTGCAATAATCTTCCTTGCAGCATTCAATGACGAAAGTCGTATTTATCGAATCACTCGTCATGCAGAAGATCATCGGCTCGGGTTTTTTTCCAACGCATCTTCAGAATAAACCGATGGTCAACAAAAGCAGCATAGGTTTTAGTTTTTTTTTAAGAAATAAATTAATCATGTCGTTTTTTTGCTTTCAATTAAAATTATAAAATAATAAAGGCTACTTTGGTTTTATTTCGGGGGGCGAGCATGAAGAGAGCTTTGATGAAACAAGCTCAAAATTGCCTCATCAAAGCTTCTTTTTTGTTCAAGGATATGTCATTGTTATTGAATAAATGAAATAAATCAAGTGGTAAAGTCATAAAAAAAACTCGGCTTGTCAAAAAAAGTAAACGCTATTCTAAATATGTTAAGTGTAACTCAAAAGAAACTCGTGAAAAAAAACCAAACGTCAAATGTAACAAGAAAAAAAAATAATGGTAAAAAGGTAACAAAACAAACAAACGACTTGAAACACAGATGCAACCAAGTTCGTTTTTTCTTTCTCCTTCTCTCTCGTAAAAATTAAAAAACCAAGAACTAAAAAAAAAAAGACTTTCGTCAAGGCTCTATTCTTGAGTCGTAAACGCGAACTTCCAACTGCTCGACGCTCTGCCGCAATAATCTCTTTTTCAAAAGTTTCCAATTTATCACACTGCAACGCGTAAACGAGAGAGTATAGCGTGAGATATCTGCCAACGAATAATAGAATCTTAATTGCCGTTCGATAATTTATAGTTTCCTCTCTCTCTCTCACTTTCGAGAAAAACAAATAGCTGCATACGAGCGAATTATTCGGCAAAGTTTCGCTGAGTCGTTTTATTTTTCCTCGTCGCGTCGAGCTTGCAGCGCGATCGCTAATACATACATAAGAAAATTCTGCGCGATCGTCGACCAAGACAGAGAGAAAGAGAAAACTTTTAGCATATAACACGTGTCGTTGTCCGATTAACGACAAAAGTGCCTGCGTACATACACGATAAGAAGACGGACTCGGTTTGGCTCGGCTCGGCTCGGCGCGTATACATACGGCACATTATTATACGGGAGCCTCTTCGGGCTGCGCGCGCGCCAGTCTCTACATGTATAAATACGCCGTACGTGCTCCGAAAACAGCTTTGGCTCTCTCTCACTCGTATGCGTACGAGTACGTGTGCGTATGTATAATAATGATCGACACGCGAGCGGAATGGCGAATACGCATTAGGCAAATATAATACTACAACGACGACGTATCGCTCTCTCGTGTGTTTGTGGTGCCTACTATACGTGTGCTCCCTCTCGTTGGGCGGCTCTCGCTGCGTCTTATGCTTATATCGTAATCGCATACACAAAACCGATCCACCTCGCGCTGACAAATAGCAGTAAGTACAGTAATGATAAAATCGCACAAGTAATACACGTTGCTTTATTAGTCGATTAATCACCTCGATACATGTGGGCGACAACAAAAAACCAACAACAACAACAACAACAACAACAACAACATTCAAGATTATTTTATTATTAATTTTTAATGTTGTTATTATAACGTGAAATTATTCCTAGTGGCTCTCTTATTTTTTTCGTTGTTGTTAGGGCTGAATGAATGACTTCGACAGCAGAACAAAACAGAGAAAACGAAAAAAAATCATCATCATCATCATCCAGCCAGACAGCGACGCCGTGTCTATCTGTATACCTGAATCGACGCGAGGCTGCAGCAGCCCATCGTCGTCGACGACGAGCAACTTTAACAAAGGCCGCAAGTTTCGATTGCAGCCGTTCGCATCGCGGCAGCAAGTATAGTTGACCGTCGATCCGGCGTCTCGTTTGCCGAAGCACTGGTGAGGCGCGTCCGGAGGAAACCAGTGCGCTCTATCGAGGCAGCTATACATGGCACAACACAGCAGAACATGTATATGACGTACTTGTATGCGGGCATAGACATTTTGTTTTTTTTTTCATTTTTATTTCGCTGTTTTTTATTACGTTTTATTATTGACGCCTAATTCTGAAGTCAACGGCGAGGCTGAATTATATTGACCGCGAAGGCAAATATAATTTATATCCGAAGATACAATCGGATCGATAGCGCGACGTCAAAAAAAAAAAAAACTCGATCGATCCTACGTACACTTCCCCGTTAAACAATTTAACAGCTCGTGCGCGCGATTTCAATGCCCCGTCAATATATAATAGGCTCGAGAGCGGCACAGAGCCGATATTCAACTAAATCACATAATATCGAGCCAGACGCTTTTGTACATGCGCACATGTACATAATACAGAGCCAAGGGGCTTAATCCGTGAGATTACAATGATGCACCATAATGGACTTTTGATTAATAATACAACGTAAAACGTCTCGAGGAATATGTGTGTGTGTGCGTGTGTACGCAGACTTCCGTTATGGATCTAGGCGCGCGCGAGACTTTTCTATTACTGCACTCTCGGCTGCTGCTGCTCTGTGTGTGTGTGTGTGTTTACTTTTGTTTTACACGTTGGAAAAAAAAGAAGAAGAGCAAGAGAGACGGAACGAGAGGAGAGAGAGAGAAGCAATCAAGCTCGAATTCAAATGGGCTGGATATTCTCTTTCATCGAAAGCTCGAGGCATCTTCTCTAAATCCGTCTGCGCAGGGTGCAAAATCAACGCGCCGGTCTGACCTCTTTTCTTTCCGATTATTATTATTATTATTGTTCCACGCTTTACATGATTCCAAGAACGAAATGATACCGTACGTACATGGTGGTGATATTAAAATAAAAATTGTCTTATCGCGTTCGGGAACGTTTCTGTTATTAGGTTGTTTTGACCGTAAAAGCTCGTTTTTAGAAAAAGTCAGTTTATTGTTCCCTATGGCGCAAGTATAAATACATCGTTACGGTTCGAGCATGACGAGCTTTCCACTCTCTTTCTCTCTCTATCTTACTTAATATTCATCGCTGGTAAAATTTTAATAATCCACCATAAGGGACAAGCCACATTAGCAGCCACACACAATTACTCGGCATTTTTTTTTGCCTTATCGAGCCTCGAAAATCATCGTCATATATCACTGCCGAGCACGCACATACGTCGTTCTTCACTTTTTTTTCCCTTCCTCGAGCGAATATTCATGTGGATATTCCAACGCGTATTTAAGGTCTTATATAGCACGTTTCCATCGTAACGACGACGACGTCGACGGCGACGGCGGCTCTAGTCGGATGCGTTAATAACGAGCAGACGAAAAGCCCTTCTCCGTCGTCGTCTTTCTCTCTTATACGTATACAGACGACGAACACATTTCATGTACTTTTCTTTTCGTCACGAGCCTTGACTCGCGCGCGAGACGACTGGGAATCGATCGCCATATAGCTTTTCATTTATATATAAAAAAAAAAAAAATACACCCGCGCACCATCGACGTCGCTTATACACATTATGCTCGATGAAGAAAAGAGTCGCCACGCGATACGCCAATGCAACGCGACGTCGTTGTATATACTCGTTTTTTTTTCCTTTCCTTTTTTTTTTTTTTTTGCTCATTTATGAGACGAGCTCCGTATAGGCGAGAGAGTGTTTTTTTCGACGAGTAAGAGCGAAAAAAAATGATTATAATAATAATCCACGTCGAGGGTGATTAATTTGGACGACCGGGCGCGCGGGCGTTCTTGACGTTTCTTAATGCATTTATTTATGACGTTTTAATGGTATATACCGTGAGAGAAAAATTAAGAATAAAATTTTTATCCAAGAAAGTGCACGCGCATTTTCGATTTGTCTTTATTTATTCATTTTTTTTAACGTAAGAGTAACGAAATAATAAATAAATTAAACTAATAAAATTATTGAGATCTATGAGTATAGTGAAGAGAAAGGGTATGAAAAAAAATTACCTGTAGGCATAAGTGATCTGGTCCTTTTCCACGTCCAGCGACGTGCTGGCGAAGCAGACTCCATCCGTGATGCAGGTATTGTTCGTGTCCGCGCATATGTCGCAGTGGCATTTCAGACCTGCGGAACAATCAAAAAAGCATCGTCAAATTTAATCCCCGCCGAGTTTATTGAAAGTTTCAATTACAAAAAAAAAAAGAGGAAAAAAAGAAGCCGCTAAGCGACAAAAGTCGAGTGCCGAGACACTCTTTCTTTCTTTCTCTCTCTCTCTCTCTCTCTCTCTCTCTCTGCTGCCGCCGCCGCACGCGGATAGGAAGCTTGCAGCCCACGTCTGCGTCTGTGTGTGCAGTTTAAACGTCAGACGGACGGTAGTAGGGGGGGTCTGGGGCCTCGGGTAAGTGTGTGTGTGTGCATGTGCTTGTTGTCGTTAACCGTGTAAAGCATCGTCGCGTCATTCGGAACTGAAAAATGCAAGAGGCGACGGCTGCTGCTGCTGTTGGCTCGAAAAAGGGGGAGCGAAATGTCGCGGGTCATAGACGAAGCCGCATCACGACTACGCAGTAGTACTATAACTATGCTATATACGGGGCACACTTATTTGCCGCGCTCGGCAAATGCATATTCTATTAATAATCAGCGATGCGCCGCGCCGAATTCAAGGGCCGCCAGCCAAAAAAGTAGCGAAGCACGAGGTGCGGCGGAGATGCTGCCAGCCAGACACAATAGCTGCGGTGTGCTTGAAGATGTTTTTCTTATTTCGTGTATTAGTCAAAATCTAGTAAAAATTTTCCTGAATTTTGTGCGAGCGATAAGTAGATCTCTGGAGAAGAGAGTTTATAAATAACGCCAGACACTCGAGTGTTTCGGCGCTACATATATATCATACGCCTTGACCGATTTGCATATTTGCATTTGTGTGCGAGACCGAAGTCGACGGTTGTACAATTCGTCAGCTGTCACACGCACACGTTCGACAAAGGACGATGCAGTTATATAGAACCTATGTACAATAAGTAAAAATACGTCGATACGCAACTACATCCGAACCCGATGATAATCAGCAACAACAGCAGTGGGTCCAGATCATCTCTGTCTGTCTCGCCCGATCCATTCATTATAAACGCGAGACGAACCACCACCACCGCGAAACAGAGAGAGAGATCATCGTGGTCGCAAACCGCAAGCACGAGTACTCCATTATAATCATCCTCCCTTCGGTCGCTTGGTACCGTGCAATATTCTCTCTCTCTCTCTCTCTCACACACGTCGAGGCTCGAAAAAAACATAAATACAGCAGCGCCGCACAACGCATTATACGCGTTTAAAGCAAGAGAGGAAAAGAAAAAAAACACTCTATCTCCATTTTTCACGCTCTCGCATCGAAAAGATCTCTCTCTCGAAACAACACCTTCTCTCCGTAGTGCTGCAAGCATACACACATCATCGTATATAACATATACGAATGGCTCACACCCCATTCCGCCGCACGTCGCGGAGAGCGAGAGAGAGAGAGAGAGAGAGCTTTGCTCGCTAGTGGCACTGCTACTGCTGCTGCTGCTGTGGCTAGACGGCTATATATATTACGTGTGTGCGCGCGCGTATATATGTATATATACTAAAAATACATAATAGACTCGCTGTACCCTTTTTTTTCCTCTCTTTTGAGTCACGTTCACACATGTATATACTATATATATATACGTATATGGATCGCGAGCAACGGCGGCGGCGAGGGCGCGTCGCGCCACTGCTACTGCTGCTGGCTGGCGGCTGCACCGTGACTTGCATACGCGTGTGTGTGTGTGTGTCTCTCTCTCTCTCTCTCTGTGCATGTGCAGCGCACGCTGCAGCGCAGCGAGACGGATAGTCTAGATGGGTTGAAAGTAAGGGTTCTTGTCTCCTTCCTGCCTCTATACACCACCGCCACTACACCCCTTTAACGTTCGCTGTACCTCCCCATCCCTCCTCATTCTTATACGCGTGCGTGCGTGTGTGTGTGTGTGTGTGTGTGCCGTACACGAGCAACTTCGTCTCTTTTTTTCTAGACGCTGCCGCTGATTTTCTCTGTGTACGTCGATCTCACTGCCTCATTGCTGCCGCTGTTGGTAGCTTATAATTAGAGACGAATTATAATTCCAATGCCGTCGCGGAGCGGAGCCCGATTGATCGTTGCGTTATACGCAGACGCGTGAGTCGTACGCGTGTATTATAGTCCGGAGAAAAGAGACGGCCCCGTATAGACGATTCTTCCCGTGGAGATTTTCAACGTGTTTCCCGTGTAAGATTCGACGCTGAACAAAAAAATTTATGTTTTATAACGCGGTGAAAGAACAAAAAAGGTTTCTCGACATTTTTCTCTTGACAATTATCGTTTATGATAATTTTTTCTTTTTAATTTGTAAAAGGGATGCTTAAGGTATAAAAAAAAGCCATGAAACCGAGAAAATTTTTGATTTTTTATGTTTTTTTCATGTCAAATTTGAATGAATTTATGAATTTTAAAGAAAAATTAATTAAATGCAAAAAAAATCGCACCTCGATCCATCATACTATAAAAAATATCATACGATAAAAAATCAAAGATTCACATTGCTTTATTTCCTCAACTGATGTAAATGCATACCCAAAAATTAACGAAAGTCCTAGCCTCATTCGATCGAAGTTTTAGGTAAAAGCAGTTTGATCGCAACGTCAGCTGTGGCATCGATTATCTCTATCTCTATCTCTATCTCTGTCTTGTCTGTCTCTCACTTTCTAAATTGCGCCACGCGTGAATTCACCGTCAGCTCGGTCGGAATCGTTCAATTCGGCAACTATTAGAAATCGTTGGTTCCACACCATATGTAGCTCGTGTTACTTTTTACTCTTACATATTCTGTACAGCTGCGAGTACGTGTAGATCGCAGTATATATTTTTAGGCAGTATTCGTTACAGCTCAGCAGCGTAAACATTGAGGACAGATCGCATAGTTTTTGGCCAGTGATTTTTGTGACAAAATAAAATTTCCTGAAATACAAGCGACTGTGTGTTGTGCGTCAGAGTGCGGAAAAATGTTCACGTATGACTGTGAAGTCATTGAAAGTGACAGTGACGTAGACAAAGAAATCAGTGACAGTAATTTAATGCACGCGAATCATCCGAACGAAGCATGTGTAGAAAAATTAAAAAATCTACGAGAAAATTTCAATTTGGAGGTCAAAGAAGAGAGATACGATCTTCTTGATCAACTTAATTCTTTGATCAGCGATTGGAGGGGCCCACTTCCTAACCTCCGGGACATTTTTCGGCCCGAAGAAATCGAGCGTCTTCTATTCGACACCATAGTATACATGAAAATTAAGTATAAAGATTCGAGTGTCGAAGATTCGAGTGAGGGTTTCATTGGGTTTGTGGCTCGCAGCGGATACAAGCACGAGCTCGAAATTGGTGAAAATGACAAAGCATCGCCTCGTCGCACTACGCCAATACATCACGCGAATAAATTAGGGTACTATAAAATCATTCCTGATCTTTTTAAAATTTACAATCGATACGATGTGAATTGCGTCGATGAGTCCGGGTTAACACATTTTTATGTGGCCTGCAAGTTTGGCTGCGACGATGTTGTCAAAAAATTTTTGAGGTTAGGCCAGGATCCCGATTGCTTCTGGTACAAAAGGAAGGAATCACCGTCGGACATGTCTTTGGATAATAACGAAGATAAAAACCCACGATCGGTGCTGAGATACTCAGTCCACCTGAATCCCGTCTATGCAGATAGATCGACACCTCTGCAATATCTTATATGGGACGAAGCCAATTTTTCCTCGGCGGAACTATTCCTCAAGATCAGTGAAGAATTGAAGAAGCCATCACAGATCAATGTTTGGGACGATCGGGGCAACAGACCACTTCTTTTGGCTCTGGTCTGTAACAAAAAGAAGGTGGCTGAATTGCTGCTGAAAAAAGGCGCCTGTACAAATATATTCGATTTTTATGGAACTACTCCTCTGCACATCGTTTCCATGGGACACCAATATTACGACTTGGCAAAGATGTTATTCAAGATCTGCGATGACAAGCATCAGCCGTTGCTGGTCAATGCCCGGAACAAGTTTGGTGACACACCTTTGCACGTAGCATTGCATTTCTCATCCCACGGCCAAAATAACGCGATAGAGATGCTTCTGAGACACGGCGCTGACCCGAATTTGACCGATCGAAATGGAAACACGCTTTTGCACATCATTTGCGCGGGTCGTACCAATCACTATTTCGTGGTGGAGATTCTATTCCAGGTGTGTCGAAAAATCAATCGGACGGTGCAGGTCAATGCTCGAGATAAAGACGGTAACACACCGTTGCATTTGGTTCTAAAATATCCCTGCGAAAAAGTATTAGATTTGCTGCTGCGAAATGGCGCTGATCCGAATTCACGAAACACTAAAGGGTTGTCTCCTTTGCACTTGATTTGCGAAGATCTCCGTGGAGATTATGCTTTGATGAAGATGTTTTTCAAGCTCTGTAAAAAAAATAATCTTCGAGTTCAAGTCAATGCTCAAGACGAAATGGGTAGTCCTGTATTACACGTGGCTTTGTCACGTAGACACTCTAAGTTTACCACATTGCTGCTGACTAAAGGCGCTGATCCCACTTTAGCTGATGCAAAAGGATTGACATCTTTGCACGTTATATGCAAAGCATGCGTATACACGGATTTTGGTGACGACTTTCTTGATTATTTCTTCAAGGTATGTGCTTATAAAAATAAAACGTTGCAGGTCGATGCCCGGGACAAGTTGGGCCGTACACCCTTGCAATGGGCCGTGGCGAGTCTCATGCCGAAGGCTGTCGATATTTTGATAAATAATGGTGCGGATCTGTCTAGCTTCACTTTCCCCGACGAGAGTCACTTTGACGAGACATTTCATCCTACAACTGATTATTCAGATTACTTTTATTTAATCGAATATTTGGCATTGAAACCAACATCCAGTGCACTGGCCACCATCGAACGTTTGCAGGAGCGAGGATATGAACTGGACCGAAGCGATGTCTTAAAAATCATGAAAATTTTCGCTAACTACGGGTTGTTCGAAAAATCGACAAATGTTCTAAAGTCTTTGTACGAGGACGAGAA